GAAGCATAGGAGAGTTAGAATGGAATTAAAAACCCTGCTAAACGAATTTCCATTGATCTTATTTAAAAGATTCAATTTCAGGAAATTTAAAATTTGATTTACTTGCTACTATAGCCTTTTAGGTGACTAACCAGAGATGTAAAGAGAAACCATTCCCCAGTGGAGTCGCCAGAAATCTGTGGGCTCCGAAAATTCGGCCCCAGCCTCCCCGCCACGCGATTTCTTTCTGTTTATTCGGCGAGGGGAGTTTTAACGGATTAGGTTCCGGGGTAAATTTTGGAGGCAGATGGGTTTGTAGATAAGACACTACCCAGAGATTTCGCCCTCATTTTGCGAGGACTTTATGATCTGAGTTTTGGTTTCCTATAGGCGCAAGCCCCTATAGTTAATTACCCCTCCCGATCACGAGAGAGAACTTTCGATTAAGGCTAGTCATCAATCAGATATGTATAAAATACGTGTTATCGGCATATAGTAGCAGCATGAGATTGAGTATTGGAAACTGGATTTGGATTTGGGTATATTTGATATTTAAAATAGGAAATTGCACCATCTAGCACTTAAAGAGGATGGTGGGGGAATGGATGATAGACCCGATCAAGATCCCATGGTTCCGTCGTCCAGGGCCATCGTGGTCCCTGGTCTACTTAGTTAGAGGAGGTAGTCGACCCAACCTGACAGAAGGATCCTTGTCGGCAGCCATGGGTTGCTTTGTACAAGGGGACCTTGTAGACCGAGGGTGAATGTTTGTCTAAGGGGACAAATTTGAATCCACCTTAGCTTACAGAGGGCTTTGTACCCTATCGATCATATCCTATTGATTCATATCTCAAGGATTTGATGCGAATAAGGAGCTTCGTGCCTTTTGTTTAGTGAATTCTTTTGATTGTAGGCCTTGAAAGCCTAATATGAGTGTATTGAAACAAATACACTGGTCGCCAAAACCATGTATTTGTTTAAAAGTTCGAACCCTGTCGACTTCTATAAATCCGTATAGAAGGATCAGGCTCGAATTAGAATTCACTTGTTAACCCGCACAGCATCCCTAGACGTCATATGTGTACCAATAACACGCTCACCGGGGCTCATGCGGATAATTTTTATATACCCCTTTAGTGTACCTATGTGTATACAGTTTATAGTGTACGTGCAGGGGTATTTAGAAATATTTGTAGATGCCTTCTGTCTGCTTGTACAGAGGTTGCAGATCCGGTGGCGATGCATTATAGATTGTGGTCGCCTTCTGTCTGTTTTCATAGATGTTGTAGATCCGGTGGCGTTGCATTATAGATTTTGGTCGCCTTCTGTCTTCTTTCATAGATGTTGCAGATCCGGTGGCGTTGCATTATAGATTGTGGTCGCCTTATGTATGCTTTCATAGATGTTGCAGATCTGGTGGCGTTGGATTTTGATGTTGACTCCCCCTTTCTCAATCACCGGGGATGGACTTTCTGGATTTTCAAAGTTTGTTGTTTTTGTAGAGAACTCTTTTTAAAATGTTCAGTGTAGTGGACATGTTATTTCCGGTATTTGTGGGTACCAGAGCTGTTTTCTTCTCAAGTATGGAACTAAAAAGAGACTTTGGAACACCGGAAAGTTTGGTTCTAATTTGTTCAAATATTTCTTTTCTGATTTTGCAAGGGAGTGCCCTTTTTCGTACAACGGGTTGTCTTTGTACCCGGTATATTGACAGCATTTTAATCACCATTGTCGTAGGTGATGCTTGTACTTGTGCCCACAGTGGTTCGTTATACCTACGATGTACACACTGTTGTTATCCACAAGTTGTTTGTAGTCATTTGCAGAGGACCAGTTGTATTAACTACGGTCTTTTGAAGGTATTTGTAGGAGACCCATTGCTTCTACATCATATCCACCCTTTTCACCAATCTCGGGTGGGTTTTTCGTGTATTTGCTTGACCTCGTAGGGATCGTCGTATGAGATACTTGTACTTGTGCCCACAGTGATTCATTAGTGCTTACGATATGTCCACTGTTGTTATCCACAAGCGGCTCGTATTTGTTTATAGGAATCCGTCGTGTTTGCTACGAGCTCCGAGGAATGTTCGTAGGAGACCCTAGTTTCTTGCATCACATCCACCTTTCACCAATCTCAGGTGGTCTGATGCCTGCATTTATTTGTAGAGAACGGATCTTTGATTGTCAGTCTCCAGCATTGCCATCTCAATCAACAGGCATTTGTAGGGATTGCTGTAGGAATTCATGCATCGAGGTCTTGTAATTTGAATTTCCTCATGCGTGATTCAAATTTTGTCCTTGTATGTGTTTGGATCCAAGTTTAGTTTCATTCAGACTTGAATTCATCAAGTTTACAGGTCTCCCCTTAATGTCGTACAGCCCGAGTTCAAGTACGAATTCAAGTGCTTGTCCGAGTTGATTGTTCACAGTTTTTTTTTGAAATCCTTTAAGTTCAATTTTGCATTCAAATGATTTCAACTTGGTCCCATTTCGAGTTCATTTCATTTGAATTTGATCTTCAATTCTATCTTGATTTTATTTAGATTTTGATCTTTAGAAATCATTTGAATTTTGTTCAGATTCAGGCTCTCTGCTTGTGTTCAATCAAGTTCGGCGGTCCACAAGTCCACAATTTATGTTCATTTGAGTTCCAATGCTTGTTCTTTTGATTTCAAAACAGGTCCCAAGTAGAGTAATATTTCACCCGAAATTTCGGCAACATCCCGGCGTCTCCCCCGTTTAGGGGAAAACTACGAAAATCTGGGCCTTTCCCACCACGCTAAGAAAAGCGTGTATGGTAGGTGCCCTCTTTCGAGGGCACCGCGGCCGTGTAAAGTTTTTGTTCCCACCACGCTAAGAAAAGCGTGCATGGGTCTTCTATCAGTACCTGTTGCAAGAGAAAAATTAGTTATTTCCCTGCAAGCGGGTACTTATGGGTATCCTGACCTCATCGTACGCATCGCACCGGATTCCCTTCCCACCACGCTAAGAAAAGCGTGCATAGGTGGTTTGCCGGTGCGTTACGAACTTCGAAGAAGGATTTGGAACCATGGGTCGCTCGCCTACCTTGTCGTAGGTGTCGCGCCGGTTGCCCCTCCCACCACGCTAAGAAAAGCGTGTATAGGCAGACCGCCGACTCGACACGCAGGACGAGGTAAGAAAGAAAGCCTAGGTTCCAGAAATTATACCTTGGTCGGCTAGCGGATCGGCGGCGACTCGTGGATCGAGGCAAGAGGGTACGAAAACCGAGGCGGGAAGGGTAGGCAAGAGAGAAAGGAGCATCTTTCTCTTTTTTTTTGAATTAATTATAATTAATGCTAATTAATGATAATTAATTAGTAAATTATTTTTAATTAATTATTTATAAGAAATTATAATTAATTAAAATTAATTTTAATTAAATTTATTATAATTAAATAATTTAATTATAATAACTTAATTAGAATTAATTAAAATTAATCATAATATTTATAATAAATTAAAAAAATAATTAAAATTAATTAAATATAATTATAATTAATACCAATTATAAATTTTTTTTAAAATTCCTCGGCATAGTGGAGTTTATGGGATTCATTTCTGGCCGAAAAGCGTGCGTGGAAGGGTGAAGGTTACCTTTCACTTCAGTTAGCTCCCAGTCTTTTGCTTCCGATCCAAACTGTAGTAACTTCCGATCCCGGTATGGCAAGGGGCGGCGTGGTGGAGGCAAAGCGAACAGCAGCGACTAGAAGCCGAAGAAGCCAACTCCACTTCTTGCTTCGGTCAAAATGTCGTAACTTCCTCTCCGGCAGGAGGAGAAAGTCGTCGATGAGCACGGTTGAACAGCCTGGTAAGGAGCGCGGAGAAGGCGATCGGGAGATAGAAATGTATCTCTCCCAAGTCGGCGAGCTCCCGAGTTGCTTCCGTCGAAACTGTCGTAAACTTCCGGATACCGACGAGAAAGGGAAAAATAGCGAGAAGGTGCGGAGTCAGATACAGTGGATGAGGAGCGGAGAAGCGAAGCAAGGAGGAAGTTACAATCACAGCCAACGGAGCTCCCTGTTCATGCTTCCGATCCGACTGAAGGAAAAGGTCGCCGAAATTTGCGCGAGAGATCGAGAGAGAGGGAGAGTCGTCGAACCGGAAAGAGCAGGGGCTTCGGCCTCTTTTAACGTCAGGGAGACGCGGTGAAGAAAGCGACGTCGATATGCACAGCGACGTGGGAGGAGTCAAAAAGGGGTGTGCGCGGCAGGGAGCGGACGTGTTCTTCGGCAGAGCAGGTTTAGAATTTGATTTTCTTTTTTTTTTTTTTTTTTTTTGCTGACTACAGGTCAACAACTAAAAACTTTTAGACTGAAAGAAATACCAGCCCAAAGTCCAGAAGATAATTAGTTGCCTTTAGGATAGATTATAGTCAATCCAGCAAGCATACCATATGGTGCTAATGCAGATATTTATGAAATAAAAATTGAATGATAATGTAAATTGATATATATATATATATATATATATATATATAATCATTGTGCAACATAAATGAAAAGTCTACCCTCTTACATCACATTAGTTCAACTAGGGAAATACTAAGAAAAGGAAAGGGTAGTGAAAGCAAACCATAGCATAAGGTTCTTTGATAGCAGAATAAAGCATTTCGAGCTCAAGTTATTAGCCACAAGAAAAAGAGCCACCTTTTTTGACAATACTGATGAATGACATCAAATTTGAGAAAATTATTAAAATGGTCCCTTGACTCTTGATGAAGGACCAGAATGATTCTCAACGATATTAAAGGACCATTTTGATCCCTCAAGTCTTTAAAAAAAATAAAAATATTCCCATAGTGGGACTATTTTGGTTCTTCTTTAAGAAGTTGAGGGACCAAAATGATCATTTAGCATAGATAGCGACTATTTTGGTATTTCATAAAAAGTTGGGACTATTTTGATCTTTTTCTCCATCAAATTGGGACTTGCATAGAATAATAACATAACTTGTGCATTTCAAAGAGTAATTTGGACTGCTATGGATTGAACAAAAATCACCTTGGATTCCATGCTGGATCAACCACAATGACACGATCTGCTTTGGTAAGAGTCAGGCCCAGTCCTCCAACTTGTGAGGTTAACAAAAATATAGGCGCCCCACAGCCCTCTTGAAAATCCTGTAATAGTAGAAATGTCAAATTTCTAAGGCATCAAACAAATGAAAATTATAAGTCATTTATAAGCATGAGCTAGGCACCTTAACAATCTTCTCTCTATCAGATATTTTGGTAGTTCCATCAATTCGTAAAAATTTGTATCCCTCAGATAAAATTGCTTCCTGCAAAGTTGAAAAAGAGAAATATAACGAATTAAGGATTTTTGAATAAGAGGACTTGTCATCAGTATCATAAAAATTCAAGTTGTATCAATACATAAGAACAAAGCATTAACAAAGAACTGATAATTCAAAATTTTGCAACCAATGCAAAAATTAAATAGTAAAGAATGTTATTAATGTCGATTGAGTATATTCGATTTTACTAATGATGAAGAAAATATAAACTCGCGGCCATTTAAGTGTTTAGAAAATTTGCCTTTTTTTATCAAACAAACACTACGAATGCCTCCCAATAAGTGCAATGAGGTATTTATTTATTTATCTATTAACTAGACATAGGACAATGAAAAAAAGTATCTTAAAGTCCTTAGGGTTGGTTTATCAGATTAATAAAGTCTTGTTCCAAATGGAAATGCTAGCCTTAAATTATAAAATAAATATCCAAGTAGTCATGCATGAAAAATGCCACAATAACCACAAATAATAAACTTAAATAAACTATGAACAAATTAACATAAAACTTGACACACTAACCAAAACATAAACTTAGTTAACGAAACTCTTACTGACAATCAGAGTAAGAATTCTATGCACCACCAATTTCCAGATGTCATAAAGAATTATACATTGGAAAGTTAAAATGTTGTTGATGAAAGAACTACGGATCCTTTAGTACATTGTTGAACTGCTGAAATCATCCATGAGAAGTCCAATCCAAATAAGAAGAGATAAATATGAAATCCATCTCACGGGAAATAAATCCCATTAAAAATGGAGAATCCACTCATGATAGATCAATCCCGAGGTAAGAGATGAAAGTGATAAACTATTTCATCTTTAGCAATATTTATCAAAATTGTAGGATGCACTTTTCATAAATCATCTTGATTATAACCAATAAGCCTTGGGATGTATCTACTGCAATAGGTGGTCATTATGCACGTCGATAGACTGAAATTATGGTCCTAATTTTCAATATTGGCTCATAAATTTTTTTTCACTTTGGGTCCAAGATTAAAACTAGTAAGATTGGTCCTCTGATGGGCAAATAAAATATGATTGGGCTATTGAGGTGGCCCAATCAATCCATTTTAAGTCATTGGATGATTTTTTTTACTAGAAGAGGGATAACTTTTAATTAAAAAAAAAAAAGGAATGGGCTTTATTCTTGCATTTTACTGAGAAAGGAATGTAAAACAAACAAATGCAAGGGGAATCAATCAACATTAAGATATGATATAGGGTTAATATTGAATTCCAATAAATGGTCATATGTATGTGGAGGATGGTTGGCTTCAATTTATTCTTGGTATTTAGGTTTGGTTTTGAATAAGGTGTTAGGGTCGAATAACAATGGTTAAAATAGGGTTAAGATTTGTTCAAAGTTTTGAACGTTTTTTTACTAGCATATCGAAGAAAATCAAAGACATTTATGACTAACAATGTTGGGTAGATGAAGGTTTATAATAATTAAATAAAAGGATAGATTTTAGAAAAGGATAAGAGATAGCTATGAATACAATTCCATTTTAAATTTTCAAATTCAAATTCAATTATAATTTCAAATTAAAACATGCCAACTTTAAATTCAAATGAAACTTGAAATATAAGGATTGGTAATGGATGAGTTTGATTGAAATTTTTATAGAGGAATCTATGGAAAGTTACTGATTCTTTTATGGATTGATGACGTATAATGATATTGCTCACATAAATAGTATTAACTCAGGGAGCAATATGTAGGGGTAACTCCACAGCAAAAAAGGTTGATTTGCTTGCAAGAGTACATTAAACAAAAATTATCAAGTCATATATTAAAAAATAGGACCATACGGTATATGTTATATGAAACAAATATGTGCAATGGTAATTTGATGGAAAGAAATGTACAACAGAAAATTCGCTTTGAAACCCGTTTGATGTAGTATGGACAATGAAATGTTGGATCTATTAAACAATCTAGAAAGCAAACGAAGAAAGAAAGAAAGAGAGTAGGGTAGGGTTAGAAAAAATGAGCAATAATTCCTCAAGCAATTGATGTTGAAATTTCAAAGAGCTATAACTCAAAATAATTAGTTTATTAACATTTGAATCATACAACCCTCGGCGCTAATATAATAGTTCTTATTCCAAATGTTAAAAACATTATTAAACACATAAAATAAGTGTCAAACTAGCATTTAAGGATAAAGTTTGCATTAACCACAAGCAAATAACTGAAAGACAAATAAGAAGAATAACATAAAGCATAACACAAAAAAGATATTTTGAGAAAAAATTTGTTCAAAGAAATGTTGTGGGCTCCAAAAATTCGGCCCTGGCCTCCGCCCGCTTTACTTTTCTTCTTCGGGAGAGTTTTAACGAAATAAGTTCCGGGGTAAATTTTGGAAGGCAGATGGGTTTGTAGATAAGACACTACCCAAAGATTACGCCCTCATTTTGCGAGGATTTTATGATTTGAGTTCTGGTTTCCTATAGGTGCAAGCCCCTATAGTTAATTACCCCTCCCGATAATTAGAGAGAACTTTCGATTAAGGCTAGTCGTCAATCAGATACGTAGAGATACACATTATCTGGCATATAGTAGCAGCATGGGCTTGAGAATTGGAAGTTTGAAGGGTTGCAAGATTTGATATTTCAAATAGAAATTTCACCATCTTGCACTTAAAGCGGATGATGGACCATATCAAGATCCCATGGTTCCGTCGTCCCGGGCCATCGTGGTCCATGGTCTACTTAGTTAGAGGAGGTAATCAACCCAACCTGACAGAAGGATCCTTGTCGGCATCCATGGATTACTTCGTCCAAGGGTACCTTGTAGACCTGGGGGACGTGTTTGTCTAATGGGACAAATTTGAATCCACCTTAGCTAACAGAGGGCTTTGTGCCCTATCGATGATATCCTATAGATTCATATCTCAAAGATTTGACGCCACTAAGGAACGTATTGGCTCTGGTCATAACCGGTATTTTGTGATGCTATTTGGCGGCAAAACCACTCGGTTCAGATGGTCCCGGGTCATGTCCGTTTATCCTGCGATGTCATTTAGCGGCAAAATCGCCGATCAGAGGACACGTACTACATCCTTACTGGTAGGAGATTTGTTGAGAATGGATCCTAGTGATATTTTCGACTAGGCATTAGCTCCATGTGAGCTTAAGAAAATTTCAATTTGTCCACTCCAGCAAACTGTTGCGAAGGGTGGATGGATTTTGCTTTAAGTGATTGATGGATTATTTCAATTTTAAATATTTGGATTTTTGGGATTTCGGGCACTTGAGATAGCATTTGAAATGTGTTTTTGAACCCCTCTGGTTGAGATAAACATTCAACACTGCCATCATCGGGGTTACTTTCAGGTCACTTATATTTTTGTAGGAATTTGAATTTTGTGTAAGTTTGGAGGCTTTTGAAATGGTTGGATTTAACCCCTCCGATTGAGATCTGCATTCAATAATGCCATTATCGGGGTGTTTGGGATCATTTCCATTGACTAAACCTTGTCGATCCTATCAACTTGATGATAGGGGATCGGGTTTCATAGGCTTTAGACCTTTGTTGATAAATTTTCTTTGTAAGAAGCCTTAAAAGCCTTAAATGAACATATAAAATAGATATTCTAGTCGACACTCTAACCGTATATCTATTTGATAGTTCGAGTAGTGTCGACTCCTATTTACCCGGATAGAAGGATCGGGCTCGAACTATGTTCATTTATGGACCCGTGCAGCATCCCTAAACGTCACGTTTGTACCCTTAACACGCTCGTCGGAGCCCATGCAGGTTGTTTGGGGGCATTTTATAATTATTTGTTAAACCTTGTCGATTCCTATTTACCCGTTTAGAAGGATCGGGTTCAAATTTATTGACCCGCGCAGCATCCCTAGACGTCACGTGTTCATACGACACACTCGTCGGGGCCCATGCGGATGCATGATTGCATTTACCCATTTTGTGTACCTATGTGTATACAAACTACGGTGCATGTGCGGGGGTATTTTTAAATGTTTTAGCTATGCAGGAAATAATCATTTGAGTATACATAGCATTTCATTTGAAAGCTTATATTCTCCTTCTGTCTGTTTGTATACGGGTTGCATATCCGATGGCGTTGCGTATTAGCTTTTGTATTGAGTTGTTTGCTGCTTTATACAGGTAGATTGTCGTGCACTATTTATTGCTTTCTGCAAGTATATCATAGTGCACTAACAAATCTCCTTCTTTTGCTTACAGGTGAATCATAGCGTTGCCACCTGAATCCCACGAGATATATTTTTTGTTCTAAAGTAGACTCCCTTTTCTCATTCATAAGGAGACCTTTCTGGTCCTTAAAATCAGTGACTGCTGCCTTAAAAAGGACTCCCTTCAAGACCTCCAGTATGGTAGACCTCTACAAGATGTAACACTCGTAACCAAATAATTAGCCTTTGAAATTAATAGAGGTATCCAGATGCACTTGTCATTTCCATTTTTCGCAGATGTCATAACTGTTTTCTTCCCAAGTATAAAACCAAGAAGAAATTTTGGACACCAGGAAGTTTAGTTTGAATTTGCTTAAACATCTCCTCCATTCTTATAGGAAGTATCCTTCCTGAGGATTTTGTCCAAGAAATCAGCAGGTACTTATATTCGTTGGTTGAACAGTGTCAGCACATGTGGTACCATAACACTATCGGTGTACATGATATATTGTGTTGCAATACCAAACTTTGAAAATCATTTGTACTTCCAAGGATCGTAGATATCAGAGATGTTTTCTCTCAGACAAAAGGGAAATAAGAAACTTTAGAACACCAAGAAATTTAGTTCGAATTTGTTCAAACATCTCTTTCATTCTACTAGGAAGAAGAGTGCCCTCCTCATACAAGGGTTCTCTTCGAAGAGTATGCTGATGCTCGTATGTGTCATATGCTCTTGAATACCTTTGTGTCCACAGGGGGTCTTCCACAATGTACCCACTGCTGTTATCCACAAATGTGTTGTAAAGTATTTGTTTTTA